ACAGTTGGGTGGGGGAACGAGCGGGACGGGAGCCCACCCAACGTCGTGGGTGCTGGAGAGGTCACCTGGAGGCCCAGCATCAGCAGTGGGGCTTGGACCCACCAAGGGGGATGGGGATGCAGAGCGTGGGCACGGCGCATGGACAGCCCGCTCCCCAGGGGGATGGAGATTTGGCAGGGGGCACCTCCAGGGTGACGGAGATGCTGCAAGGACCCCCACGGGATGGTGGGGCTGTGGCACAGACACCTCTAAGGTGATGAAGGTGCCACAGGGACTCTCCAAGGGAGGTGGAGACACCTCTAGGGTGAAGGAGATGCCCGCATGGACACCCCTTCCGGGGATGATGGAGATGACAGAGACACCTCCAGCATAACAAAAATGACACAGGGACCTTCCCAGGGTGAGGGAGATACAGCGTGGACATCTCCAGAGTGATGGAGATGGCACAGGGACCCCTCCCAGGACAACAGATCAGGCACAGACACCTCTAAGGTGTCACAGATGCCACAGGGACCTTCCCAGGGTGATTGAGATCAGGCATGGACATCTCTGAAATGAAGGAGATGCTGCATGAATCCCCACGGGACGATGGGGATCAGGGACAGACACCTCTAAGGTGATGGAGACACCACAGGGACATTCCCAGGGTGGTGGAAATCAGGCATGGACATCTCCAGAGGGATGGAGATGCTGCATGAACCCCCATGAGATGATGGGGATTGGGCACAGACACCTCTAAGGCAATGGAGACAACAAAGGGACCTTCCCAGGTGGGCGGAGGTTGAGCAGGAGCATCTCCAAAGCAATGGAGATGCTGCGTAAAACCCCATGGGATGACAGGGATTGGGGACAGACACCTCTAAGGTGGTGGAGACACCACAGGAACCTTGCCTGGGTGGTGGAAACTGGGCAGGAACATCTCCAGAGGGATGGAGATGCTGCGTGAACCCCCGTGAGATGATGGGGATTGGGGACAGACACCTCTAAGGTGATGGAGACACCACAGGGACATTCCCAGGGTGGTGGAAATCAGGCATGGACATCTCCAGAGGGATGGAGATGTTGCATGAACCCCCATGAGATGATGGGGATTGGGGACAGACACCTCTAAGGTGGTGGAGACACCACAGGAACCTTGCCCGGGTGGTGGAAATTGGGCAGAAACATCTCCAAAAGGATGGAGATGCTGCGTGAACCCCCATGAGATGATGGGGTTTGGGGACAGACACCTCTAAAGCATCTGGGATGCCGCAGGAACAATGGACACACATCACGGACACCTCCAACATCGCTGACGCCCCACATCCAGGCGCCTCAAGCTGTCCTTCTACCTCAACACCCCAACCCTTGGGCCAACTGATCCAAAAAAAAAAAAAAGGTGGTGGGAGGGGGGGAAAAAAAGCCAAAAAACACCCAAAAAAGCCACCACCCGGGGAGGGAGGAGGTGCCCGTGTGTGACGGGAGTGGGGACCCACCACCCGCCCCGTTCACAACGCGAGGAGCGAGGGAGAATTCAAGGAGTCCGAGGACTGGTCGCTGCTGCTGCTCCGCTGATGCGAGGCTCCGCAGGTGGCTCCCTCTGGGTGGGTGAACACAAACGAAGACGTATAGGATGGGTTAGGTGGCCCTGAGGACACCCCGGGCGCGAAGCAGCAGCTGGGGAAGGGGCCCTGGGCGCTCGGCTGGAACGGACCCGGGGGGAGGAAGGCGACGGTCCCCGCCGACTCTTCCTTGCCCAGGGTGCTCACCTCGGCGGGGCCGGCACCCAAGGAGCCGACGTCCTCGAAGGGGAGCTTGCAGGCGGGGGCGTGGGCCACCAGGACAAACTCCAGCCGTTCCTTCTCCTTCTGCAGCTCGGCGATCTCCGACTCCAGCTCGGCTTTCTCCTCCTCCAGCTGGTCCGTCTCCTGGGGGGGGAGCAGCGGGGTGGGGTGAGATGGATGCCGCTGTCATCGTCCCCCACCCTGACCCAGGGGACGTCACCCACCCATGGCCTCCAGGATGGGGTCCTTCCTCCCTCCAGCATCCCTGGGTGCCCATCTGATGTCCCTGCTCCTGGGGACGGCACCGTCCCTCTCCACCATCCCTAGGTCTCCATCTGATGTCCCTGCTCCTGGGGACAGCACCGTCCCTCTCCACCATCTCTAGGTCTCCATCTGATGTCCCTGCTCCCAGAGATGACATCGTCCCTCTCCACCATCCCTTGGTCCCCCTCCCATGTCCCCTGCTCCTGCGGACAGCACTGTCCTCCTCCAGCACCCTTGTGTCCTCCTCCCATGTCCCCCACTCCTGGGGCCAGCAATGTCCCCCTCCAGTGTCCCTCTACCGCCTTCCCCTCCATGTCTCCAGCTCCCAAGGACATCATTGTCCCCTGCCAGTGTCCCTTGGTCCTGGGGACACCACTGTCCCCATCCAACACCCCCAGCTCCCAAGGACGTGCACCCGTAGGCATCCATCTGTCCCCTCCAGCACAGACAGGTCCTGGGGACATTGTCCCCCTCCAGCATCCCTTGGTCTTGGGGCCACCACTGTGCCCATTTGATGTCCCCAGCTCTGAGGCCATC